CACAGCAACAAGAACTTTATTAAGACCAACGCTGTGGAGAACATCATGACAGTCCCAAAGAAACCGCAGCCTGTGTATGCTTATACCAAGAAGGGAGACAAACAACTGTTGGAGAAATCTGGTCTCATCCCAAAATACATAAAGAAGAAGGTGAGAAGAGAGATGGGATGTTGAGCTTCATGTTTCAGATGCTCTTGTATTCCATGCATACAAAGCATACTGTTCACGGTACATACTGAATAGAGCAAAAATAGTAAGGAAAAACCTCGGGCCTATTTTTTATGCATGTTCTCAGGACTATGGCCTAACTCCAGAGTACCTGCTCCAGCGCAGAGAGGAAGTGAAGAAAGCACAAGAAGAATATGACAACTATGTCAAGGAGCGAATGAGAGAAGGGGCCATGAAACAGCTTTCAGGTGAAGAGCGCCACAATATCCTGCAGGTAATCAAATACAAATAAACTCAGATTGAATCCATTTCTAGTTGTGTATAGCCTGTGTTCTCTAGAGCTTGTTATTGCAGATCTTGCAGCATTAATCTCCTGATGAGAAATTGCATGTCTTTGTAGTTGTTCCTTTAGATAAATGTATGAATAATGTTATATGAATAAATGGGCATGACCTTTTTTTAAAAATTAGGATTTAAAAAATAAAATGTAAATGATTGTATAAAGGAACTTGTATACACTATAACTTGAAACAATTTTCACTCCGAAATTGCTATAGCCAATTTCCCAAACAGTTTCAAAGAAATGGCAAGTAACACGTTAAATGAAACGTGAAATTTTGAAGTAGAAGGACTGAAACAGTATTTTCTTGTAAAACACACTCTGATCATATTAACAATAATAATAATGTTTTTAAATAAGTGTGTTATACTCACAAAGGCTGCATTTATTTAAACAAAAATACAGTTAAAACTGTAATATTGTGAAATATGGCATTACAATTAAAAATAACATTTTCGGTTTTAGTATATTTAAAATGTCACTTATTCTTGTGATGGCAAATCTGAATTTTCAGTAGTCTTCAGTCACATGATGCTTCCGAAATCATTCTAATATGCTGATTTGATGTTCAAGAAACAGTTGCTGTTTAATATTTCTGTGGAAACTGTTACTTTTTATCAAAATAGAAAGTAGCATTAAAAAAATTTAAAAGAAAGAAAGAAAATAATATGTAATAATGTAATAATTTATAATAATTTAATTAATTTCATAATAATAATTTTATATTTAATGTAATTAATAATTTAATAATAATTTTTTTTATTCATATT